AAAATAATCAGCCTGGGGCTGGTGAGATGGCTCAGTGGTCTAAAGCACCTACTTAGAACAAGCTTAGGAAAGCACAGGACCCACGGTTCAATCCCCCAGCACCACATGCCAGCTGGCCCTGCCCCCTGGTGGGCTGAGCTGGACACACACACACACACACACACACACACACAAATAAATTTTTTTTTAACAATTTTTTTTTAAAAGATTTTTATTTATTTGTTTATTTATATTTATTTTTTGTGTGTGTGTGGCCAGCTCAGCCCACCAGGGGGCGGGTCTGGCTGGCATGTGGTGCTGGGGATCGAACCGCGGTCCCTGTGCTTTGCCAAGCTTGTTTCAAGTAGGTGCTTTAGACCACTGAGCCATCTCTCCAGCCCCTTTTTTTTTTTTTAATTTTTTTTTTTTTTTTTTTGGTTTTTTTGTTTGTTTGTTTGTTTTTTTTTTTGGTTTTTTTGTTTGTTTGTTTGTTTGTTTTTTTGGCAGAACGGGGATTGAACTCAGGCCCTTGCACTTGCAAGGGAAGCGCTTATTCCACTGAGCCATCTCCCCAGCCCCTCACACACAAATAAATTTAAAAAAAAGAAAAATAATCAGCCTGAAAGCTAAAGCTTGGAAATGCCAGCCCCAGGCACCCTATCCCTGCCTTACCTGCCATCGCTGTTCTGCTTGGTGGTGCCTCTATAAGGCAGGTGAGGCGAGGATAGGCTGATTGGGACTGGCACTTTTGATCTCTAGTGTTCAAGGGTGATTATTTTTCAGGTAGGTCTTACTTTCAGGAAAATGTGGACTTGTAGTTGTATGTGGTAATGCATGCTTGTAGTCTCAGCACTCGGTAGATAGGCAGGAAGATCACTGTGAGTTTGAGGGTAGCTTGGGCTACGTAGGGAGTTCAAGGCCAGACTAAAGTATATAGTGAGACACTGTCTCAAAAAGGAGGTGCATGCCCATCATCTCAGTGCTCTGAACTGGGGGCATCACAAGTTTAAGGCCAGCCTGAGCAGGATAAGGCTGCAAGGACTTGGCTGTAGCTTAGTGGTGGAGCACTTGCCTAGCATGCAGGAGGCCTGGGGTTCATTCTCCAGTGCTGCAGAAACAGAAACCTAGCTTGTATTGTGAACATGTGGGATACTAGTGAACTTCATGTATTTCTTTTGGAGTGCCTTGCAGAGGCTTCAAGGCCCCATGGAGCCTGGCCCCTTTTGGGAGAAGATGAGTTTGCTGAGCCAGGTGGTCAGTGCTGTTGGAGGTGTCTGGCTGTAGGGTGGAGAGGTGGTAGCCAGCCACAAAGGTACACTGCAAGGACTTCCAGAGGAGGTAGGGTGGGACTGGGCTTGAAGAAGAGAGAGGGTCTGGCTGGAGTAGGAGGGACAGGTAGAGGAGGAAGGAGGAGAGCAACAACATTGGTGCCCTCCAGCTAGCGGACTGCCCGGAGCTTTTGAGTCCAGTCTTTGATTACATTTAATCACCTCGACAACCCCGCCAGACAGATGATGATGCCCCATTTTATGGGGGAAGAGACAGTCCTGGGGACCTTTAGTAACATGATGAGCTGGACAGGCTAATTTTTTTTTTCAAATTGCATTTTAGTAATAAAACATGTAGAAACTGATTTATCAACTTTCACATAGAACTGCAGATGAAGCTGAAAAATAAGGTCTATTTTTAAAACAAAATGTATCAAATATGAGGACTTTGGGTTTCTTCCTTAGTTTTGTGGTACAGGGGTTTGAACTCAGAACCTTGTGCCAGCAGTCACTTACACCACTGAGCTATATCCCTGGCCCAGGTTTTTGGTTTTTGTCTAGTCATCTGGGATTGTCACAGTTCTTTCATATATATAATGCAGTGTCTGGCAGCCGAGGCTCTGACATTCACAGGGATCACTGCTAGCAATCCCATTTCCAGTGGGTACCAGTCTGCAGCGCTTCGTACCTGTTGCTGTGTTTCAGCTCTTCCCTTAGCCTCGTTCTGAGCACTGCTATATGATTTCGTAATTCTTTTCAAATGTATACTGGTATTTTTTTTCTTGATCTCATTTAGTTATACACATTACTTTTTTTTTTTTTTTTTTTTTTTTTTTTTTTTTTTTTTTTTTTTTTGCAGAACCGGGGATTAAACTCAGGCTCTTGCGCTTGCCAGGCAAGTGCTTATTCTATTGAGCCATCTCCCCAGCCCCATAGTTATATGCATTACTGATCATCTGAATATTTATTTTGCTTACAAAAATATATCATCAGATGCTTGAAGTTGCTTCACTGTTCAAGTTTGTTTGTTCTTCTTCTTCTTTTTCTTTTTTTTTTTTTTTTTTTTTTGGCGGAACCGGGGATTGAACTCAGATCCTTGCATTTGCCAGTCAAGCGTTTATCCTACTGAACCATCTCCTGGCCCCTGTTCTTCTTTTTATCCCCAGCTTTTCTTCATTTGTCCTAACTATGACTAGCATTTTTTTTTTTTTTAACTTTCCGCAAAGCTTTATTCCAGAGGGGCTCAGTCCTTCTTGGTAGCTGCCTTCCTCATGGTGGCCAGCACGTTGCTCAGCTCCTCACACTTCCTCTTGGAGCAGGTGTGTGTTTCTTGATGAACTTGAGGGCGACTTTGTCCTTGGAGACCTTGAGCAGCTCTGTGGTGTGACACTCATAGGGGGCGAAGCCGTACACCTCCCTGATCATATCAGTGTGTTTGGTGAGGCATCCACGACAGCAGCTGTGCCTCAGTTTGTTCACATTCTTAGTCACATTGAGGCCCATGGCCATGGGATAGCATAGGGCCATGGCTACTGTTCTTAAATGGTTGCTGTGTAGAAGCTAGCTTTGTTTTAGAAATATGTGATGCCAGGCCGGGGAGATGGCTCAGTGGAATAAGCGCTTCCCTGGCAAGCGCAAAGGCCTGAGTTCAATCCCCGGTTTCAGAAAAAAAGAAAGAAAGAAATATGTGATGCTGCCACCAAGTCAGATTTAGAAACAGATTGTCCCAACAGTAATGCATTTAGGGGACCGGGGAGATTGCTCGGTAGAATAAACGCTTGCCTGGCAAGCACAAGGATCTGAGTTCAATCCCCGGTTCCACCAAAAAAAAAAAAAAAAAAGTAACGCATTTAAACTTATTTTGAAAAAAAAAAAGAGTTAGCACTGCTGATATTGCTGGTTTTGAAACTGTATTGTCCTCTAAATAGTCTCTTGTGAAAATTCTATGTGACATCAAGCAGATGTGGCAAGCTCTGTCAGTGGGTTAAAAATATCTTCTAAGCTTCCCTATGGAAAATAAAACAGTTGTGCTGCCCACTGCTCAAGTGAGTGTATAGTATGATCTCCCCACATAATGCTTGAGTATTTTGTGCAGTTCATTTTGCAGCATTTGTATATCTTCACAGAACACTGTCATACGCATGGGGGCAAAGCATAGAATAAGTAGAGGCATGTTATCTTGTGCATAGTTTCATTTCATTAATGCTTTTTTATTTTTTGGCATTGTTTCTCTATAGATTAAAAAGAGACATGATCATGCTTGATTACTAAAAGGAAAAAGCAAGGTTGGTTAACAAAAGGCTATTACACCATACATACAGAAATATAAGAAAATAATCACTTAAAGCAGACTTGAGAGATCTGTACAGTAGGAAAAGCTTTGGGGCATTTCACTGTATGGACAACAATGTGTGCTGCTCTCCTTTTATCTTCAGGTCTTAGATGCGGCTTCACAGAGACGTTTTCAGGGAAGACTGAGACACGGCCGAGAGTACCACGGATTTCTGAAGTTCCTCCCCTACCCATTGGCACTGTGTAGAGGCAAACAGTTTTTAAATAGTTACATGTTGCTTCTTCTCTTCCTAGCTAGTGTTTCACTGAAAGCTTAAAAAAAAAAAAAGAAAAGAAAAAAAAGCCCTGTGCTATTCCTTCCTCCTGGCCAGCCTTATTTTTGAGCCCCTCTGCTCTGAATGTTTCTGGACATGTGTGCCCACCTCTGCACATGTGTGTGCATTTTATGGAGTATTAATTCACATAATATGATGCCTTCATTAAAGCTTGCCGTTCAGTGGTTTTGGTGCATAGCATTCACCCAGTCTTCTGATAATTTTATTGTCCTCACAAAAAGCTCCCCACCTTGTAGTCATCACCTCTGAGGCCCTTCTCCCCGCACCCCCCCATCTACTTGGTGTCTCTTAGGATTTGCCTGTTCTGAATGTTTCGTGTAAGTGGAGCTGTGCAACATGTGGCCTTTGTGGTCTTGTTTGTCATGGTATCGTGTGTTGAGTCTGTCCGTGTTATAGTGTGTGCTGGTACTTCCATTCTGCCTAATGCTGAATAATACTCCTTTTCATGGATGTCATATTTTATTGGGCCACTCCTCAGCTTATGGTCATTTGGGTTGTTTTCACTTTCAGGCTGTTGTGAGTGATGCAGCTGTGGGCATCTGTGTGCTGTGTGTTGTTGTGTGTCTTCACTTGTCTCTGGTGTGTGTAGGAGTGGCACCTCCAGCTCATGTGGAGACTGTGCTAAGCACTGAGGAACTTCCTGGCTGGTCTGCACAGTGCTTCCCTATTGAAGAGTGATGCTTGCCTTTAGCGTGACAGTACTGGGAAGAAGGGCACCATGGAGTCTTGAGTGCACAGCGTGTTTTCAGGATAGTGATAGTGAAGGAGTCTAAAGCTGTCTCCTTCAGTGAGCCTTTGATGATTCCAGAGGGAGTTGTCTCTACGGGCTCTGAAGGACACTGCTGTGAATGCTGGTTCTGTTGTCTGCATTCTATGTAGAGGTTGTGCAATGGGGGAGGTGGCAGGCTAATCTCCAAGATCCAGGGTGTGAAGGAGGGATGGGCGTGAAAATGGGACAGGCACAAGCTAATGCTGGAGGGGGCTCTTGGAAGATGTCCACCAGAGAGCAGGAAGGCAGGAGGGCAAGAGCCTGGGAAAGAAGAAGATATTGGGGTTCATGTGGGCGGGGAGTGCTCCTGGACAGCTGTAGCAGGTAACTGGTCTGTTTTTTGTCCTTTGGCTGCAGATCTGGCAGAGTGCAAGCTGGTGTCCTTCCCCATTGGCATCTACAAGGTCCTGCGGAATGTCTCAGACCAGATCCACCTCATCACACTGGCGAACAATGAGCTCAAGTCCCTCACCAGCAAGTTCATGACGACGTTCAGTCAGCTCCGAGGTACGCCCTGTTCAGGGCATGGCTCTGATGCTATGAAGAAAATGTCCCCAGCACCAGTCCCTGTGCTGCCCTCATGAAGCCATTCCCAGGGGTAGGCTGGGTCTGTGTCCTTCATGCAATCTGGAAACCTCTGTCAGCTTCTGTCCGGCTGGCTGTGACTCTGACTGACCCAAGGTCGAGACTGTGTGGTCCTAGATTGCTTCCCTTGTCCAAACAGGGCAGCAGGGCATTTGGGTCCTGAGGCTCATCAGTAGTTAACTGTTGGTAGCCTTGGATGAGCCCCTTCTCACCTTCCATCTAGCGTTGTTCTCCTGTGCTGCTTGCTCAGCTGAGGAGTGAGCCATGCCAGGAGCATTGGCATTTTCGCTCTTGGCATGCACACAGCATGTGGATGTGGGTGCCTGGCATAGACATAGGCAAGAGGTCAGCAGGAGGGTGTTGTGGAGTCTGCTGAAATGCTTCCTCTGGATGGACAAGCAGTGCCTCCTTCCTGCTCTACACAGCCATCCCTCCATTTGTCTGCCACCCTGGGGTGTTGCAGCCTGGCAGATGTGCATGTTTGTAAACTGATAGGACCAGAGAAGTATAGAGGGCACTGGAAGTGATAGTATTTCCCCCTTTGGCATTTTTATGTGATAGGAATAAGAAGGTCTAAGATCCTATTTATTTGTTTGTTTGTTTTTTGGTATGAGAACCAAACCCAGGGCTTGCAGCTTGCTAGACAATTGTTCTACTGCTGAACTAAATCTCCAGCCCCTAAGATCCTGTTTAGAGAAACAAATCACAAAATGCTGGTGGTACATGAGCCACCTGAGCAAGCCTGTTGCATATAGCTGATTTTAGTCTTAGTTACTTTCTTCGTCATTGGGGTAGAATACATGACACCCACACTTAAGGAAGGAGAGGGTTCACTCACAGTTTGTAGTAGTTTTAGTCTATAGTAGGTTGGCTTTAAGGCAGGGCCGTGTGGCAGAGGGACGTGGAGAGGAGAAAGAGCTCATGGTGTGTCAGGCAGGAAGCAGAGAGAGATCAAGGGTGGAAGAGGGAGATGGTCCTTCCAGGCCACGCCCCAATGACCACCTCTTCCCACCAGGCTTCACTCCCTACTGATAGAGCTATGAACTCACCAGTATCCAACACCCGTGACACCCTCTGAGCACTCAAGGCTTTGGGGGATCATCTTGATACAAACCATAACAGTGGGCCTCCTTAAAGAGACCTGTGCATGGACCAGTGCCAAGTTAGGAGAGTAAGGCATGAATTAGCAAGGGAGGAGGGAGATCATACAGTGGTGCAGGAGAGGGCTCTGGCCTGGCCTGGAACGGCCTGCACCCAGGTGGCTCACAGAAAGGCAAGGAGGAGGGACAGGCTGGGTGGTCATTTCTGAGTGATACTCATGAAGCTGTTCTTTGGGCCTGAAAAGCTGATGTCCTGTCATTGAGGAGGAAGGGTGAGGGTCAAGTTTGCTTCTGTAGACGCACCTTTAGGTGCTGTAGCGTGGACTGCTTCTCCTTTCTTTCCTAGTAACTGTTGCTTTACACAGGTGAGGTGGGTCCCCATAGCAGCAAGCTCTTTGGACCAGTAGCTCACAGCCCTGCCTAACAGTGATATCATCTCAGAAGCTTTTCTACAGGTGCTATGTCTTGGCTCAACCCCAAGCCCAGATGAAACAGAACATCTGTGTGTGGTCCTTCTCCTGGGCGTTTGTCAATACCTGCACCGATCATTCTAAAGTGCTGGCAGTCAAAGTTGGGCATTAGAGATCAGGGGTTATAAACACAAGTGCCTAGGAGACTAGCATGTAACTAATGAGTGACAGATTGGGCCTAAAGAGAGAGGGTGGTGGGGACACTGGCAACCTAATACATGCCCTGCTCAGCTTCAGCCAGGTGTGCTACAAGAGACAATGAACCAGTGTTGACCACTCTTCTGATAATTTAATAGAAGCTGGAAATAGATGAGTTTCTGTAGCACAGAAGTCAATAAAAGATATTTGCAAGATAGATTTACTCTGTGGGCCACCAACTGAGAGAATCTCCTAGGAAATATTAACATTGCCCCTCCCATCCCATTCTGTGTATGGAATAGGATGGTCAGGGCGGGAAGGACCTGTCCAGGGTCTCAAAGCAGCATATCTGGGCCTGGACCCACATTCCCTCCAGGACAGGGCAGCTTGTCTAAGCCACCTGAATCAGCTCAAGGGTTCTTGAGTGCTATATGCAGCCAACTGAGATTGGACATTTGCTTTCCAGAGAAGAATAAGATTGAAAATGGATGGTGGGGCTTGTCAGAGGTCCCCAGGAAGGACAGTTCGGAAGAGGATACCCTTGGGTCTTAGCTTTCTCCCATTAAATCATGCCTTGTACATTTGTGTGTTCCAGATCTGTGTCCAGGGTCAGGGAAATAAGACCAACAAGAGATAGGCATGGTGGTGCATGTCTGTAATCCCAGCACTCTTGAGAGACTGAGACAGGAGGATCACAAACTTGAACCCAGTCTGAACAAATTAGCAACTTAGTGAGATTCATGCATTCATATTCATATTCTCTCTCTCTCTCTCTCTCTCTCTCTCTCTCTCTCTCTCTCAAAAAAGGGAGTGGGTGGGCTGGGGATGTAGCTCAGTGTGGAGTTCAATTCCCAGTAAGAGAAAAGGAGAAGGGATGACCAATAAATCCAGGTCTGTTCCTGAAAGAGCCCAGGTTTGCAGAGCAGACCTGTCTTTATCATTGAGGATCGGGATACTGGTATGGACAAATTGGACAGAGGAATTAGTGCTTCTCAAGAGCGGCATGGCTGGGAGTGAGTATAGAGGCAAGAACTATCAAAGGATTTGGTAATGCTCAGTACCTTGTGAAACTGGCGAATGGTCTCTTGCCAGAGACCTGGTGAAAGGGCAAAGAAATGCCCCTGAGAGCTGGTTTGCAGAGTTGTATTTATTATGCCTCCTAGTCAAAAGTCTGTTGGATAATGCTGTTTGAACTCCTTCCTGCTGCTCCATTGCCCTTGGGGTTATAAAGGGAAGTCCAGTATACTTGCTAGTTGGATATTACACAGTAGATTGAGGGCTGGGGGGGAGGGGCTGGGCAGGAGGTGCTGGAGCTGAGCACTCCATCTGGCTCTTAGATGGCTCTAGGCTCAAGCCATCTGTTGTGATTTCAACAAAAAATATTTTGTTTTATGTGTGAATAGAAGGCTCTACGCGGTCTACTCTGCCCTTTTCTGGATTATTTGCTTGTTTGTGCACAATATTGGGGGTTTAAACTAGGGCCTTGTACATGCTAGGCAGGGACTCAATGCTAAATATAGCTTCATCATTTATGTATTTGTTTTTTTTTTTCTCAACATTATTAAAAGCTATGTATTTGTTTTTAGCTTTGTGTTATGGTTTAAATGTAGCTGTTTCCCAAGCTTCATGTGTTCGTAGATGGGCCTTTTGGGAAGTGATTGGACCATGGTGACGCTGTACTTACCAGTGGATCACTCCCCTGATACTAATGCAGTTTATCTTGTACCACTAAGGAATTAGTTCTTTGGGATTTAGTTCACAGTAGTCAGCCATCCATCTGGACACTCAGGGGCTTCTGCAGCCATAATCCAAGGGGGCCTGGCTACTGTTTGAAATAGTAGCAGACCTTGGCATCATCCACAGGCATACAGAATGGAAGAATTGTCAAGTCAGGCTTCTACCCAGATTTCAGCAGAAGGTCTGGGAGGCCAGGCAGTGTGCCCCTGAGAGGACAGTGTGTGAAGCCGTGAGAGTGAAGCTGAAAGTGCATTGGAGACCCAGGAAGTTGAAAAAGCCAAGAATGTGGAATATCTGAGGAAAGCTGCAAGTAGCGAGCAAAGTCAGTGCAAGAGAAGCTGTTAGAGGTATAACTACTGGCAGTGCCACAAGGACGGGTTTGCCCCAGGGCTTTAAAATTGATAGGCCATCACAGCCTGCCCTGGGTGTGGAACTGCAGGATTTAAGGTTTGCCCTGTTTGGTTTAGGTCTTGCTTTGGTTCTTTTTTCCTTTTATAGGGAGTTTATACCTCTACGTGGTATATCTTGCTGCTGCTTTCTTTCCCATTCTTCTCTCCTCTTTCAGCTGCTCCATTTCTTTCTCTCTCTTCCCCTCTTTCTATCTTCCCCTCTTTCAGAATGGAAATGTTTATCTTGTGCCATTGTATGTTGGCAGTGTTTAACTTTCTTTTTTATTTTTACAGGGACTCACAGCTAAGAGTTTGCCCTAAGTTTCAGGGGAAACTTTGGACTTGGACTTTTCTGCAATGATGAAACTGTTAGGACTTTAACAACTGATAGAGGTGGATGAATGCCTTTTGCATAAAGTGATGGGCATGTGTCTTCTAGGGGCCAGGGGTGGTATGTCATGGTTTATATCTAGTTGTCCCCCCCAAAGCTTCATGTACTCATAAGTGGGACTTTTGGGAGGTGACTGGATCCTGGGGACATGCTACTCATCAGTGAGTTAGTCCACTTATGAGTTTATAGCTGAATGTGCTTTTAGAAGTTGGATAAAGCTTTAGAAGGTAGCTGAATGTGGTTTCATCAGCAGAGGTGGGTCACTGAGGCCAAGGTGTGGAAGGGCGTGTCTCCCTCTGGGGCTCCTCTCTTCACTTTCTGCTTCCTGGATGCCATGCTGTGAGCGTCTGTTCCTCCCTCATGCCCTGGGCCATGCATGTTGTCCTGCCATGGAGCCAGTTGCCTGTAGCCTGAAACGTATTCCAAACTAAACTTCTCCTCTTTTAAGTTACAGATGTTGAGTATTTTATCCCAATGATGATGAAAGTGACTAAGATATTTTAAGACAGGATATTACTAAGTCGCCCAAGCTGGCTTCAAATGTGGAACCTTCCTACCTCAGCATTTTGAGCAGCTAAGATAACAGACTCTTAACCATCATGCATAGCTTTTTCTGGGTCCTTGGTGGAAGTGGGCTACCTTGATGTCAGAGGAGAGAATAATCTGCTTGTCCCCTGCCCATCTCCTTGTCTCTTGG